GTCTCTGTTGTTGGAAGTTTTAGAGTCTTTTGGTTTTGGGCAGAGGTGGTGCAAGTGGATAAAAGGGTGCATTAGGACTTGCCATTATTCTGTGTTAGTAAATGGCATGGTGGCGGATCACTTTCCAACTGTGCGGGGTATTGGGCAAGGGGACCCTCTCTCCCCTTTCCTCTTTACCCTAATTGCTGAAGTGTTAGGGAGGCTTATTGAGAGGGCATACTCCAGAAATCTGATTAGTGGTTGGAGAGTGGGGAGGGATAGGGTTCCGGTCACTCACCTACAATTTGCAGGTGACACAATTCTGTTTTGTGATGGAGAGGAGATTAGATGGGTGAGCAATTTGAAGCTGGTGATTAGGGTGTTTGAACAAATGACCAACTTCAAAGTAAATCTTGGTAAGAGCTGTGTGATTGGTATTAATATGAGTGAGGGAGAGGTGGAGGAAAGGGCCCGAGTGCTAGGTTGTGAGATAGCTCAATGGCCACTGAAGTATTTAGGGCTTCCTTTAGGGGATAATCCTAGAAAAAGGAGTTTTTGGAATCTAGTGATTGATAGGTTCACTAAAAGGCTAGCTTCCTGGAAGAAGAAATACTTGTCTCTGGGGGGCAGGATAACCCTGATTAAGTCAACATTGGCAAACCTTTCAGTCTATTTCCTGTTCGTGTTCAGAATTCCTGGAGGTGATTGTAGGGAGTTGTAAAAATTAATGAGGGACTGTTTATGGGAACCCGGGGAGGAGAGAAGGGACCGTAGAGTTAAGTGGGATCTAGTTACAAGGTCCAAAAGTGAAGGGGGATTGGGGCTGGGAAATCTGCAGAAGAAGAATGAAGCTCTTTTACGGAAATGGTTATTGAGATGGTCCAAAGAAAGGGAGAACTTGTGGGCTAAAATAATCCTAAGTATTCATGGGCAAGAGGCAACTGGTTGGGATCCAGGACTTTCATCTAGAGCTTCAAGAGCCTCTCCTTGGAAGTCAATTCATGCCATCTTGCAGTCATTTTTTCCCTTCATCAGGTATGATCTTGGTTCTGGCTTGTCTATAAATTTTTGGGAACACACTTGGGTGGGGGATTTTCCCTTGAAGGAGCAGTTTCCCTCTTTGTTTGCTCTGTCTAGGTTTAAAAATGAACCAGTAGCAACCTTTGCTACCTTGTCTAATTCTGCTATTGGTTGGAACTTGGGTCTTAGAAGGGCTCTCAGAGATTCTGAGTTGGAACCCATTTCGAATTTGCTTAAAATCTTGGATGAGGTAGTTCTTGAACCTTTCAGTGTGGACTCTAGGGTTTGGTCTCTTGTTCCTTCGGGTATCTTCTCTTGCTCCTCCTTTTTCAAAGCATTGACACAGTCTAGTCTGGTACTTAGGTCTCCTTTTCCAGTCCGAGAAGTTTGGGGTAGCCCCATCCCTCCTAGGGTAGGTGTTTTTTGCTGGGAAGCAATCCTAGAAAAGTGTAACACTTGTGACCTACTTCAAAAGAAAAGTCCTAATTGGTGTTTATCCCCGCACTGGTGCATCTTATGTAAGAAGAATGGTGAAAGCTGTTATCACTTGCTTGTTTCTTGCCCTTTTGTTTCAGATATTTGGTGTTGGTTCTTTTCTCTATTTAGTTGCAGGTGGCCCTCCTCTTCAAGTGTACAAAGCTTGTTCAGTTCCACTTCAGTGAGGGGTTTAAAGAAGAGAGGTAAAATCTTGTGGAGATGTGCTAGAGCTGCTGTTTGCTGGACGGTCTGGGAAGAAGGAATTCAAAGATTATTTCATGAAAAAGAAAAAAGCAAGGAAGCCCTCATAGAACTTGTATATGTTAGGGTGGCCCACTGGGTCAAGTCTTTGAAGCTTTTTGAAGCCTATTCAGTAGGAGACATCTTTAGAAACAGGGAAGAAGTGGCTCGGTCAATTCCTATGTCTAATGATATTAGACCTGTTTGGACTCCACCAGACTTGGGTTTCATCAAATTGAACTTTGATGGTAGCAGTGAAGGAAATCCAGGCCTTTCAGGCATAGGTGGTATTTTCAGGGACGAAGAAGGTCGAATTATTGCTATGTTCTCAGGACCTATAGGCTGGGGGGATTCACTGAGAACTGAAATCCTGGCAGTTCTAGGAGTTAAAAGAGCTAAGCAGTTGAATATTAGTAAGCTGCTGGTGGAAGGAGATTCTCAACTGACTGTTAGATGGTTGCAGAAGGAAGAGTCCAGCCTGTGGAAGTTCTCAAATGAAAGAAAGAAAATCAAGCAGTTAACTCAGAACATGATTATAAGGGTTCAATGGGCCAGGAGGAGTACTAACTCCATGGCTGACACCTTGGCTAAACAGGGGGTGGGAAGAACTAATTTCTTTTGGGCTATCTTGTAATATGTGTTTTCAGTTTTGAAAGGGAGGGTTAAGACATTTTACCCCTTCAATCTGGTTGTAATTTCCGTATCTCTTTTAATAAAAGTGCTGTTATTGATAAAAAAAAAGAGGAAGTTTAGATGGCTGGTTAAAGACATGGAAATCAAGATCAGTTGGGTGAAGAGATCAGCTAACTCGTTTGCTGATGGGTTAGCTAAGCAAGAGGTGGCAAGGGAATCTATGTTCTGGGCTCAGTTGTAATTGTAACTTCTATTCTTGGGGGCTCAAGCCTCAGTTGAGGAGAAAAGAAAGTTTATCTCCTCCTTTGTTATTAATACTTCTGCTTGATTAATGAAATGTGTTATTGATAAAATAAAAGAAAACCTAGGAGTAGCTCCAATAGATGATAATATGCGAGAAAGTAGACTAAGGTCGTTTGGTCATGTTCATAGAAGACCATCAACAGAACCTGTATGAAGAAATGATTTGTTGCAAGTTGAAGGGTCTAAGAAGGGTTGGGGGTAGACCAAAAGGACATGGGTAGAAGTAGTAAGAAATGATTTAAGCAACAATAATCTAACAATGGATGTGACATTAAACAGAACCAATTGGCAAAACAGGATTCATGTAGCTGACCCCATATACTCTGGATGAGGCTTGGATGATGATGTTGTTACCTTTTTGTGAGGTGCAGCCTAATGGTTATTCTTGTCTAGTCTTATTATGTTTCACGTTTCAGAATGTAGTAGTAGTATCTCCTGCTGCAACTTCCTCTCTTAGGTATTTTGAGTATTTTTTTGATAATAAAATAAAAGTTCATTAAAAGAAAAAGAAGTTACAGTGTCACCTGAAAGTAAAATGGGAACAACACTTTACCTTACCACAAAGTCCACAGTCCAAACTCCAAAACCACAACATGAACATGACAATTATTTTTTTGATAAATAACATGAACATGATAAATTAAAAAACCCCAAAGAACAAACCTCCTCACAACCTCAAAAAATAAACATGAACCCTTCAGCTCAAGAAATAGACCACCTACCCAACCTGACAATAATAACTATCATCTATCTGCTGACAAGAACCAAACATCTTAGGAAAAATCTATGGTTCTGGCAAGACATGGTACCAAAAGAGCTTTGTCCAATCAAAACCCACCCATGAGTTTTGATAAATACCATCTGATTGGTTACCATGTTTATGATACTGGTTCATTGGTCATAAGTTTTTCGGGTATCATGTCTTTCTGGTATCATAGTTGAACCCAACAACATATAAACATTAAAATCCAACTTCACATTGTGCAAAAATTTGCTTGTTTTACTCTTGTTCTCTATAGACTTGAACAGGAACATCTTATCTTCTCCTATTATCTTTATTTGTTTAGTGCTTGGAGCACTTTGATACAATCTACATCTATTTCCTCTGATTTTACTTTGAATATGTGTTTACATTATGTTTATGTATTTTAATTTGAGCACTTAGTTTAGTTTGTTTCAAGATTTAGGTTTGTATGTGTCTTGCTTTCTCTAGATGCACATGCTTTGCCTTGCGCCTTGGACATTAGAAGGTCCTTGCACTTGTGCTTTTAGCTTTTAAAAACATTGGTTCTTGGGTGGCAAAGCATGTTTTAGAAAAGATTGGAACTGGAGGTCTTGAAAGGATTGGGAGATAGATGCTTGATATAGAGAAGTATTGCAGATAGAGAGATGGATGAGTGATTCATGGAGTTTGTTAATTGTGTCACTTGTGTGGAGTTGGATGGGGGTTGATCTTGTGGGTTTTGTTGTTTTGGGAATGGGGGATGTTGAGTTGGAGTTTGGCTTCGGTCAGGGCAAAGCCCGTTCGAGCAGCCTTTACAGCCTTTACAGCCTTTACAGCCTTTCATTGAGTATATCTCCGTACATATGTGCTTTATTTCTTGGGGAGATATTCCCAATGCAAGGTTGAAAAAGGCGGTTGGAACGGTGTGTGCATGGGCTTGCCCTGACAGAAGCTGATCTCGTTGAGTTGGCAGACTGGGGGTGATATCTTATGACCTGCCCCACTGTAATACTTTTATTTTAAAAAAAAACTTATAATACTCATAATAGGATATCATCCTTTGTCACCACCAAAGGATAAGAAATTAAATGTGAGGATGTATTGGCCATCTGGTCTGAAACAACTGAATCAATCAACCAATAAAGAGATGCAAATGTGTAATAAGCAAGTGAAAGTGCGGGGTAAACTAACACAGTAACACATTCTTAACTTTTTAAACCAACACAGTGATTCATGGAGTTTGTTAATTGTGTGGAGTTGGATGCGGGTTGTCTTGTGAGTTTTGTTGTTTTGGAATGGGGGATGTTGAGTTGGCAGATTGGGGGTGATATCTTATGGCCTGCCCCACTGTAATACTTTTTTAGTTTTAATAAAACTTATAATACTCATAATAGGATATCGTTTTTTGTCACCACCAAATGATAAGAAATTAAATGTGAGGATATATTGGTCATATGGTCTGAAACAACTGAATCATTCAACCAATAGAGAGATGAAAATGTGTAATAAGCAAGTGAAAGTGTGGGGTAAACTAATACAGTAACACGTTCTTAACTTTTTATTATTATTTTTGTTTAGCTATTGGTCAAATTGCAGAGTATATTCACAATATGTTTTAATGTAGGCTTCCAAGCGTCCCCGCACAAGCATGACAGATTCTTTTGGCCAGACAGGCACAGTAATAAATGAAACCATGCAAGATCCATACAAGTCCGAGTATAATTCCATTGAAGTTAACAACTCTGCCACTGCAGGAGTGGCAAATGATCAGGTTGGACCTCTTTGGGTTTGGGATGATGAAGACAGGGCTACAGGCATGGATATCCAAACACTTCTATCTGAGTTTGGAGATTTTGGTGACTTCTTTGAAAATGATGCTCTGCCTTTTGGGGAGGTATATTCTTTTACAAACTTCATCATGGTATAATGTATGTCATCTGGGACAATATCCTACTTATTTTTTAAGTGCAATTGGAATAATTGGATTTTGGTTTCTATTTGACTTTGTTATTTTTAGTTGTTTTGTTTGCAAAAGATTAAAGCTACAGTAAATTGCTTTCCAGGCTCAAAATTATAGAATCAATGTGTTTTTTTGGGAAAGGGAAGGGACTTTCACTTTCCAAGCATTATTTTCGTTTAAGTTGTTGCATTTCAGCATGATTAGGCGTACTGTCAATTGAAACTGATTATGATCATCCTGTGGTGAAGCCTCCAGGGACTGCAGAGTCACAGGCCCTATTGTTTCCAGTGGATGGTGGTGATGGTAGCAGCAGTCCTTGTACTATGGGAATTGATGTAACAGATCAAATGCTTTTGCCTGCTTTAGGGTTTCCATCTTTTGAAGGGTTTAACCAACTTCCTAAAGATGTTACAGAGGAGTTTAATAGCAAAAATCAAGAAATTCAGTCTTCAGGTCCCGGGAGCAATTCTTTAGCTCCTTCCACGGGTGAGTCTGACCATTTGTCTAAAGTGGAAGCCATGATGATATTTGCTCCAGAATATAGAGCAATTGAAGCCTCTATAAGTGAGTTGCCCTCATCAATTTTCAGAAGCCCATATTTACCCAGATCCAGAAAGGAAAATAGTTCACATTCAAGCTCAAATGTGTATGTCTATGGTGCAAGACCACCTTGTTCTCCATGCTTAGATGTCTCAGATGGGAAGCCTTCCATAGCTGTGAATTCAGAAACAGTTCCTGGTGGGTGTGAAGCAAATTCCATCCTTAACTTGAAGAAATATTACACCTATGTTGAGACTGAGAAAGAGAAACTTGATAGAGGATCGTTGGCTTGTAATAATAGCATTATTTCTTCTGAGGTGGTGACTTCATCCTGTGAGGGGGTAGCACCATCTTTTTCTGGTCTGACTTCCACACATGCTGTCAAATCTGTCCAGAGGAATAAGAATGGAAGTATGTTTGAAGCAGGGAACTTCCTGCTGTCTTCGAAGACTGTGCTTGCTGCAGATATTGAATGCATAATGTTCCAAGCTGCTATGTGCCGGATGCGGCATTTGCTTCTATCTTCCACTAATCTGGACTCTTCTGGTCTAGGCAAATTTAGTGGAGGTGTTGTTTCAACTCAGCTCCCAGGGGGCACAAGTACTGTGACAGACAAGTTCTCTAGCAGGTACGATGTAAAGAAGAAGGAATCTATACCAGTTAGAATAGCTGGTGATGTTGAGGGTGGAATGCTTGATGGACCTCTTAATGCACCAGTTGGTGTCTGGCGCTCTGTCGGAGTTCCTAAAGGAGCAAAATCTGCAAGTTCACCAAGCATTGATGGTGCTCCACCTATGCCTCATAATTCATTGAATGAAGAAGGTACTTTTGTATATGGGCAGAAACGGCCTCTTCAGGGGCTTCTTGATTCAATGCCCTTGCTTGTCCAACAGGCCACTTCATTTGTTGATGTGGCACTGGATGCTGACTATGGTGATGGTCCATATGGTTGGCTTGCATTAGAAGAGCAGCGTAGGCGTGGGTTCTCTTGTGGGCCTTCTAACATCCATGCAGGCTGTGGTGGAATTTTGGCTTCTTGTCATTCTTTGGACATTGCTGGAATGGAGTTACTTGATCCACTCTCTGCTAATGTAGGCTACTGATCTGTATACTTACTCTGGTGAACTTTTTTTTTTTTTTAATTTGTTTTTTTTGTGGTGATTGGGTGTTATGGTTAATGTGATTATTCCTTTGCAACTAAGGTGATCTGTTTCTTCTCTGAGTTTTAATGGTTGAGGGTTTAATGGGTGTAGTGTAAAAGCAACTAAGATTGTTTTTTTCATTGATAAATAAACATTTCATACAACTAGTCATCCATTAATAGTTTTGACCATGATATAGAATACACATGAAAATGTTAGATTGATGCCTTACTATTTCTTCTCATTTACTGTTTGCCCATATCATTGAGTTTCTTTTATCCAATCCAAAAATCAGTTAGCTAATCTCCTTGAAGGATGTGGCAGTCTCAGGTTTTGTTCCGTTTCTTCCATATCTTCTAGTAGGGGTATCCTCCACCTTTTTGTTTTGTAAGAATTAGAAGCAGTGATTTCTTCATTTCTTGTGATCAACATTGAATTCTCCAACCCATCTGGTAGATGAAACAAAGCTATATCTTTTCTTTATCCTAGAATGCAAGAATAAATTATTAGCATTCTCTTCTGAACCTTTATTCTTCAGATGCTTGTTATGTGGATGTTTCTCTCTTTTAATTGATCTTGTTGGAGGATTTTTTTTTCCAAGAATCACCAGCTATTCTTAGTTTCCCACCCTTGGAGAAAGTGCTATTTGCGAAAAAGTTTCAATTCCAGAAGACTGTCACTCTTGTTGGAGTTTTTTTTTTCCTCCAAGAACTGTCAAGGATTTAGTTTCTAGAGTTTCAAGATCTTAGAACTAGAAAAAAATTGTTGAGTAGCTACAGTTGCACTTGTTCTCAATGTAAGGATCTAGATCATAGTTTTCAAGGCACCAAGGCGAGGCTAGGCGACTGGGGGGTGCCTAGGCGATGGATTTTTTATGTTAAAAACATAGATCCTAGGGTAGTTCCCTAGGTACCATAACCATATTTCTTTAATAATTATTCATGATTTTCATAAGAAAAGTATAAATTTCATATTAAAGTATAGAAAATCAACATATTCATGAGAAGAAAAGGAAGAAGGAAAATAA